GTATATTCGCTATAATGAAAGGGATGCAATGCGGTGTCGAAAACTAAATTCCGTCTTTTGGCAACAAATAAATAAAAAAAAATTGACTACTAACTTAATATTAAAGACAATTTCAACAAACTTTTCACCATTACGTATATTCACGTCAATATTTGAATGTTGGCAATCGTTTGAACCCAAAAATAAAACAAATAAAAAACAAAACGATTGAAATTTTCAGAAACAAATACTCAATCATACTGTCTCGACAATGAAAGACGATTTCTTCATGCCACATAATTATGTTATGTTGTTCGCATCGTAGATGTGAAGTTGTTTGCTTTTTTTTTCTCTCGGCATGTCTATCGTTCAGATATATTTCTTCTACAAGTGATTGAACGGAATCGTAGGCATCACAAGTTGGTTGTTTGTTTTTCTATGCGCTCTTTAAGACGAAACGCATAAAAGCTGTTGGCTTTACGATGAGAACAAATACAAAAGTATCAGATTATAATTTATTTTGACTGTTTATCTGTCTCGTATTTTATTGAAGAAGGGAATACGACGAATGTGTTGGAAATTGTGTGAGTGTGTGTTTTTTTTTTGTTGGTTTGGCTCCACTATGATACAAGATATAAATAACACATTTACCTCAATGACCGGCCATTTGATTCATGATGCCGCTCTTGCTGTTGATCTTTCAAATACATTTTTTGTCCGATGGGTTGACGTACGACCAGCATTGCATGCAATCCAGTTGGTGGTGGACGATGATGAATATGATATTTACATGTCAGATTACGTTGATAAAATCCAGGGAAATTTGGTGACCTTATTCGACAAATTCTACATGTAGAAATAAAATAAACGATTTAGATTTGTTTGAAGATGGTTAAACATTTTTTTTTCTTGGATCATCACATTGATTTGTTACTCTATTGGACATTGATTGCATTATTATGTTATCGATTTACTAAACTATTGTAAACAAAAAATCGAATGCTCAATATGATATATGTCTTGAAATGAAACGAAAATTAGGTGGAATTTGTTTATGAAGACACTTCTTTTGAATGAGTTTAAATGTATTTCTACTGAATTTGGTTGATTTCATTTAAAATATATAATCCAAATGGAAATGAGTTTTTTTTTATAGATTGATTATTGTGTTTCGTTTTTTTACCGACGCGTGGGCCGAACGAAAAAGTATTTTCTTCAATCAATAAAAAAAAACTTGCATCCACGCAAAAATGTTATATTTTTAATGTGGATAAATTAACTAAATGGCTTACCGTCGGTCGCAATCGTAGATATTTTTGTCACAATAGGTGCCTGGCACTTGGTCGCCTGTCCAAATTCCCTTTTCATTCCTGAAAATGAAAAATATAGAAAGAAAAACAGCGCACGAAATAAAATTGAAAAATTTAATGGCAATTCCAAGAGATAAACTCTAAATGGCAAAAAGAGTCCTACCTTAGCTTGGCATCCGTTCGCTTTAGAAACTTGTAGATTATACGAAATGAAAAATTATTGTTATTGAGCGTTAGGCTATGTTGCGGCTGCTGCGCGAATTTGAATAAATTCAATGTTATGTTAATGGAAGAACTTTCGCTGTAATAATATGATACGCCACGAGCAATGCCACACCACTTTCCGCCAACCTTCTGATTTCTGCCTCTATTGCCGTTATCGCTAAATACACCAGCTGTAGCATCCATTGAAGAAAAGTTCTGCTCACTTATTGTCATGTAACCGTCGGGACAACCGTCATTTGTATGCGATGTAAATCGGCCAATGTTAAATTTATCAATATTTATCTGTCATCAAACCGAGAGAAAAAAAAGGTTCAAATTGATAAAGTAAATCAGATGGTTCTAAAATCTTCTGACTTAATAATGATATGATTCGTCACACAGGACGCTTTTTTTCACGTCCAAAAAGGTGTATATATATATTGTATGTGTTTGTGTGTGACAAATCACATGGTTTCGACTGATTCTAATTTAAATGTTTTATCTTAATTTGTGTAAGGGCCGAATATTTTCAAGCATGTTTCATTATTTGTCTCAAAAAAAGAAGAACTAATGCGTGGATTTTATTTGCATAATTTGTCGAATGTTGCTTCTATTTGTTGTGCGCAATGCTTGCTCTATTGAATATAATTAATAAAATTAACATAACGGCAAAATTAAACCAATAAAAAGAGTATGCGGCCATTTTTAGGCACGACTTTATTTAGACATGTCACTTACTTGTATAATGTCGCCATGTAAACCACCTGGTGCTGTGAAATTCAGATGACATAAAAACGGTAAAGTGTTAGGCTTATCTATTTCCATTTCGTATGTTTTTCCGATATCACCGAACCATGTGCGGTTGCAAACTGTTGTGAAAGGAGTAGGAAAAAACAGCATACATCAAATTTAATCATCCGAGAAAGGCAGCCAAACGAACAAGAGCAGAAAAACGAAACAGAAATAAATAGAAAAAAAAGAAGAAATGTCAAATCAAATGAATTTTTGTGTGAATAAGATGAAAAATCTTATTATATTTATTTTCCTGGGGTTGTAAAATCCTTTGATGGAACAAGAAATAAACAAATAAACCAAATGGTTTGGTACCATTTGAAAAGAAAACTCAATAGAATTTTCAATAACTGAAACTATTGTGGGTGACGTAGCGCTAAAAAGATGGGAAATTACATGCGGAGTATATTGTTTACATTCACATCCTTCGTTGATTTTTGTCGTTATTGAACAAGGTATACATCGATTGCATTAAATACAACAACAACTTCAACTAAAACATTAAGTTTTCGAGCTTTCAATTCACCAGCAGTACGAATCAAACGAAACGAAGAAAACCAACTGAAAATAAAAATAAGCGAAGATCAAGGAATATCAACACAAATGTACACGAAAAACAGCAAAATAAAACAAAAATCGTCAAAGTAAAAAATAAATTAGTTCTGTAATAAAATCCAAAACTTTGAATGGATGTAGATATAAATTGTTCCCTCTTCTTCATTCTTTTCTTTCTCTTTCTCTCGCTCGCTCTTTCGCGCGCGCTCTCCCGCTCTTTCTGTATCGTTCTTTTTACATTGATCTTGCTGGTATCACTTGATATTCTTGAACTTTTATGAAGTAATATCATGCTACTGCTCGGAGAGATAGATATACTTATATCTTTGGATATATACATTGAATGCTATAAAATGCAAAGAAATTACACTAGCATTAGTGAATTTTTCCGCATTTGTTCGCATCTGAACAAATCGAAATAAGAAATAGAATTAATGTCGCGCAGAAGTATATAACCTTACGGTTGAAAGAAAAAAAAAACTTCCGTCGATATGTACAACCACGCAAAAGAGATTATCAACGAAACGCACACACTATTTACAAGCAACAAAATGCACAATGCTAAAAAGTCAAACAAACTACAAAGAAAGTAAAAAAAAAGTCAGCAGCAAGTAAATGGTAGAGTGAACCATGAGAAAAAGTAAGAATGGAACTATATTAAGTTGGTAAATACCAGAAGAAAGTTGAATAAATGCCACATGAAAATAAAACATATATTTGCTATAAATTGTCTGGGGCTTTCCGAACATCTAGTTTCGGTTTGTTTGTTTGTTGTAGTTGTTGATTTCATGTTTTTTTTTTTTTCGTTGCCAAACCTCACCGACGAAATATTTTGCACAAAAATTGAATGAGCACAGGCAATTGAAAAATAAATTAATTCGGTGAAAATTAATATACTTTCGGGTTGAATAGCAAGTCATCTGGAATGTTTTTATATTTAATTTAATCAGAAATGAAAATCCGATTAAATTAAACGCGTCTGTAAAATTGTGGCGATTATTTATACAGGCCATTGGCACCATCACAACCAAAATTTGCGATTTAACAATGTATATAACAACACGCGCCAATTGCACTGAACAGTTTCTATGTACGCGCAACATTCGTTCGTCAAATAATCAAATGGCACGTCATAGGTAAATCACATTCTTCATTTGAATTCAATTCGTGCATATTATTTGATATCAAAACTATATAACTTCAACTAAACACATGTGCAGACAAATGATTATGTTGGATAAATAGCCGTTGCTGGAAATGGCGGCTAAGTGGATGCGTCTGCGGAATGAGTTTACAGTATTTAATATTATAAACAATAGAATTGATTGTTTCTGCGTACAGCAACACTTCCATTGTTACAATCACTTCGATTGTTTATAATTTTTGTAATGGTGATAGTAAACATGGAAGTATCTACTTAGCCGCCAGCATTTCCAGCATAATCATACATCTGCATAGGTGCATACCTCATAGCATGTCTCCACATTTTATTATACGAATTTGAAACAATTTTGAAATAGTCAACCGTGCAACATAAAGTAAGCGGTATGAGCGCATCATTTTCACTTTCTGAAGTTGAAGTACTTTTCATATGAACACATAACTGATATCTCATAAACTAATAGCGTTATGTTTTTTACATGTTTTGACCTATTTTGCATTAAACAGAATTTATAAACACGCACCCTTTTATATGAAAGGCGCAGACTAATTATCTTATAGAGCTCTGATGTATGAGTGAATCAACAGTGGAATTGCACCCAATCTTGATAACACAACCATGAAAATAACATTTATCATTTTTTGGAATGCATTTGATTTATTAAACATTCACATTGAATTCAATTCGAATGTCATGCCAGCGTTCAGGGGACCCAACCCAATTTCGAGACAACTTATTTTTTTATTCATCTGTTAGCAACTTAAGAAATGGGGCAAATAAGTTGCCCCGAATCAATTCACATAAGTATTAATAATAATAATAATAAGTTTTACAAAAAAAAACTCGGTGTTTTCACAATCGCGCGGTTTCGAAATATTATTCATTTTCTATTTAAAATGTTGATCATAATACTTTAAAATTGTAATGGCAAACCTTTTGCGGTTATTATAATTGACATTTCAATGAACATTTAAGTTTCATTCTATACAGATTATAAACTGTCACTTTTACGTCCAAATTTCATTTGGAATGTCTATAAACAATAATTTAGATAAAACTATTGGGCTGTAATACAGTGGTTGGTATTTATTTCATTTTTGCTGTGAAATTTTGTGTTTGCCATTTACCTAACATTATTGGAACAATAACAAAAAGTAATAGCCTATAAATTTTAATCGAATCGAATGTTTGGAATGATTATTTTTATACACATTGAATTGAGTTTTATGGAAATGATGAACAATAGTTTCAGTAACGACAAAGTTTGATTGCATGAATGTGTATTGACAATTCCATGAATGAATTGAACAATACAGTGTACAACGGCAATGAAATAGTGATTTCACCGAATATCTCAACAGATAAGGTTGATTCAATTTGGCAAACAAAATGTTTTGTAATTATAATATACAGTAAATTTCACTTCCGACCACAATATCTATATACGGAAGATATTCTATTTCGCACAATTCACGACAATTTGTTGCGAATTCAATTTGAAATGTATTCATTCGTTGGCAATAAACTAGAACACCCACACACACAATAAGCATTACGTGCTCGAATTTACACGAATTAATTATTTATGAAGCTTTACCGCTAAATATATATATAAAAGTTGATGATTTGCAAACATCTATGCGTGAAAGAAAGATTATCGATCATAACAGCGTTATATGCATATTCTGTGTTCGTACGTTGAATTTTACATAATTTTTAATTTATTTTACACCTTTATCGTTGATTTAATCAACATTTGAAGATTGTGATTTTTCGAGTAAGAAATATTACTCGACTATACGTAGGTTGCTCCATAATTTTTTTTAAAATGGTACTTATAGTGTTGCCCGATGTAAACCATTGTCATATTCGTAAAGTTTGATGTTTTGGTATGTATTCGTGCCCTGAACCTTTTGTCGTACGAACGCTATTTGTATTGTTTACAGTGACTGGTAAACTGCGACTCAACAAAAAAATGAATTTTACACGTGAAGATTTTCGTAAAATGATTTACTACGATTTTCGAAGTAAATTATCTCAACAACAGTGTTTCGATCGACTTCATTTGGCCTTTGGCAATGAAGCACCAACCCTTCAGACAATTTATAACTGGTACCGAGAATTCCGTTGCGGTCGTAGTTCGCTCAAAGACGAGTTTCATACAGGTCGTCCAAAATCGGCTGTTGTGCCACAAAACATCGATGCTGTCAGAAAACTGATTATGGAAGATCGTCATGTGACCTACCGTGAGATTGAGGCATCTTTGGGCATTTCATCCCACAGCATACATACAATTTTGCATGAACATTTAGCCGTAAAAAAGATTTGCTCTCGTTGGATCCCACATAAATTGACCGATGAACAAAAAATGGCTCGTGTGAGTTGGTGTAAAGAAATGCTCAAGAAATTCAATCGTGGTGCTTCAAAAGACGTTAATAAAATCGTCACTGGTGACGAATCGTGGATATATGCCTATGAGCCCGAAACGAAACAGCAGTCGACTGTATGGGTCTTCCAAAATGAAGATAACCCAACGAAAGTTGTTCGAGCAAGAAGCACTTCGAAGCGAATGGTCGCCTGTTTTTTCGGGAGAAGTGGTCATGTGGCAACCGTTCCACTAGAGGATCGTAAGACCGTCAATTCTGATTGGTATACCACCATTTGTTTGCCCGAAGTGTTTGGTGAAATAAGAAAAAACAACCACCGTCGCAAAATAATTCTTCATCACGATAATGCGAGCTCTCACACATCTTTTCAAACTACTCGATTTTTGACCGGTCAAAACATCGAACTGATGGGTCATCCACCGTACAGTCCTGACCTGGCACCCAATGACTTTTTTTTGTTCCCAAGCGTGAAGAAAAAACTACGTGGTCAACGATTTTCGACACCAGAAGAAGCAGTTGAAGCGTTCAAAACACACGTTTTGGAGATATCAGTTTCGGAGTGGCAGGAATCCTATGACAAATGGTTTCATCGAATGCAAAAGTGTATCGATCATCTCGGGGAATATTTTGAAAAACAATAAAACCATTTTCGACAAAAAACAACTGTGTTATATATGTTTTTAAAAAAAATTATGGAGCAACCCTCGTAACAATGATTTCGTTTACCAAAGTGTTGTCTCTGAAGCTTTTGCGGTCGCTGAATCTTGTCACGGTACTTTGAAAATCTCATTTACGGAATATAACCTCTATTCAACTTTTTTAATCAAATTTTTTTTTCTTTTTGTCAAAAGATTTATTCAAAGAAGAAACTTTGAAATGGTTTGATTTTCTCTTACTTTTTTTTAATGTTATGAATTCATTTTTTTATATCTCTTTATCTTTATTTGTATCAAAGAAATAAGATGGTTTTATG